ACGGGGATCTGTGAGTCTTGATTCTGCTAGGGGCTGTCGCACATAAACAGTGGCCTCCAGTCATAGATGTGTCATGGCTGTAGGTTTGCCTGGGTAGGGCAGGGCAGGTGAACTCTCCAGAGTGTTACCAGTATTACCCTTCAGCTTAACTTAGTATTATTACAAAAGGTTTCAGGTCTTAACTATACACAGTAATCAAATATGTTTCTAAATATAATTGATTACACAAAAACCCTTTTGTTTTGGTGACTGGACAATGTAATAGAGAGTTTTGGTGTTGGTGTTTTTGATTCTGGTTTTTACTTATGAAAACAAAGGTTTCTTGGCTGTCCTGCATGGTTGTTGTGGATCAGCTGCCATGCGTCTTCATGCAGGGCCCGGCTGACAGAGCAGCCTCTCCCTGGGGCTTTTCTGGCTGAATGGCAGAGGGAAAGGAGGTGTAGGAAAGCGCACCTTGGTGTTCAAGGCTTCTGTTCAGAAGAATGCATCCTACTTCCAGTCATGGGTCCTTGGCCAAGGCAAGCCCCTGGCCCCCACATCCATGTCCGGCAAGGCAGAAATGTGTAACATGTGGCCCACATGAACAGTCATCACAGGGAGGCAAAGGCTCTGTATGTTTCAGAAACTAGCAAAAATCTCACAGTGAGAAATACAAAGAGCTGAACTGTCAGTGTTAACACAAAGAGATCAGATTTGACAGAAAAATGAAATGACAATATCAGCAGTTATGGCAGCTGGGCTCTACAGCCAGCTGATCCAGGGGCTCTGGCCACCCCGAGAGCAAGGGAAAGTTGGTGTTTCACCACACCTCTCTGCCATGGCTGAGGAATGGCCATAGTGAAGAAAAGAACACTCTCATGGGAACAAGAAGAGGAAAGAATTACCCTAAGCAGGTGGGATCAGAAAAAAGAAACACTACAGAGAAGCTGTGTAAAGTGAAAGCTGCACAGTACCCTCTGGATGTGATATTGGAGGGCCACTGATGAACTGCAGGAAAGGCATTTCACTGGCATCATGGGGACAGAAGCCAGATCTCAGTAAAATGAGAACTTAAAGTACAGCTTAAGATTTTGGCTATAAGGAGGATGGGGGAGACATTGGTGATTAGAGGTGATCATAAAGTTGGAAAATTTAAGATAAATGCAATTTTGGCCCTTTTAAAAGCCAAGGAGAAAGAACCAATGGAAAAGGCAGAGTTAAGAACACAAAGAGGTCAGGGGTTGGGTGCTGTGTGAGAAGTGAACCTGACAGGGCGGGATCTGAAGTCCAACCTGGTAGGAGGGGGAACATTCCTGCCCTGAGGAAGGGGGTTCATTAGAGCAGGCAGGCAACATGACTGTGTTTTCCCTTTTTAGGAAAGAGTGTCATCCTGTTTGCATTTCCCTAAGCTGGAAGAACATCCTTTAACATTTTTTGGTAGTGTAGGTCCGCTGGTCACTCAGCTTTTCTATGTCTGAAAATGAATTTTGTATTCTTTGTGGAACGATACGGTGATACTTTTGTTGACTATAGAATTCTTGGTTGATGGGTTTTTTTCTTTCAGCACTTTGTGCCTAGTGCCTGGGTTTTATTGCCTTGTGATTTTTCTTGTGGAGGCTCGTCTGTAAGCTTTGTTGTGGTGGTTTAGACTAGCTTTTACTCTAGAGCTAGTAATGCTTAGCCCTCTTCCTGGGTGTGGCTTTCTGGGGTCTCCACTGATTGTCCCAGAGGCTCAGAGAGGCCTCTTGACTGCAGTTGGTGAGAACTGGGAACATCGCTCAACCTCAGATGGGCTCCAGTGGTGATTGAGCTTATAGCAGCTCTCTGGGTGTTGTTTTTTGCTGGCCTCATGGGTCCTGCCCCCTGACTTGCATGGCTTGGTATTCAGCCAGAGATGAGGGGACCTGTGTGCAGATTTCTGGAGCTCTTTCTCTGGTAGCTCCTGCCTCTAGAGATTTCCACCCCACAAATCCTGGCTGTCTGTGCCTCCTCAGTCTCTCCTCAGTCTGTTCAGGTCCCTGAGATTGTCTGTATTCTCCATGGGCCCCTCATTGGGCACTAGGGCTGATAGGTGCCTCTAGGCAGAAAGCCAGGCCTGTTGGAAGGTCACCTTGTTTGTTGCTCCTCTTGTGGGAACCACAGTCTGCTGCCTGTTTTCTCATGTCAAAAACAGATGCTTCATATATTTTGTCCAATTTTCTAGTTAAGAGAAGAGAGCTGGTTTGTTACCATTTACTCCATTAGGCCAGGAGTGAAAATCTAAGTGTAGAAGTACTATGTTTTTTAAAATGTTGACTGTAGGTTTCCTATTGGGCAAAACTTCAAAGTGGGCACTGACAATTTGCCAGGAAGCCACAGTGCATCGCCTGCAGTGGTGTTCCACTAGAAATTCCAACACCTGCCCCACAGACAACCTGCATGAGAGTGGATCACTTGGGACTCATGAGATTCCTGGGCCTTACTCTAGATCTGCCAAATTAAAAATCAGCAAATTTGTGAGTTTTAATCAGCGTGAGCATGCTTTATTTGCTTAAGTTTGAGAACCACTGCTTTTATGTATCAGCTCTCTTGGGTGGTAGCAAGTAGAAGGTGTCACAAGATGTTAAGGCTCTAAGTCCACAGTCACCAAATGTTTGCAAGGATGTGAAACAGGAGAGGTTGGCAGTCACTGCCAGTGAGAATGTGACTTGGTCAGGCACCCTGCAAATCCAGCAACTTGAAAGTACACCCTCCCTCCCATCTGGCAATTGTACCTCTAGCTTCGGTGCAGGGAGATAACTAGAACCTCACAGAGCATGTTCCAACAGAGTGTTGGCAACAGCTCGGATGGCCGGCAGAAGGAGCTGGGATGTGTAATATGTGATATAGTCACTAATTAGAGCAGGCAGGCAACATGACTGTGTTTTCCCTTTTTAGGAAAGAGTGTCATCCTGTTTGCATTTCCCTAAGCTGGAAGAACATCCTTTAACATTTTTTGGTAGTGTAGGTCCGCTGGTCACTCAGCTTTTCTATGTCTGAAAATGAATTTTGTATTCTTCGTGGAACGATACGGTGATACTTTTGTTGACTATAGAATTCTTGGTTGATGGGTTTTTTTCTTTCAGCACTTTGTGCCTAGTGCCTGGGTTTTATTGCCTTGTGATTTTTCTTGTGGAGGCTCGTCTGTAAGCTTTGTTGTGGTGGTTTAGACTAGCTTTTACTCTAGAGCTAGTAATGCTTAGCCCTCTTCCTGGGTGTGGCTTTCTGGGGTCTCCACTGATTGTCCCAGAGGCTCAGAGAGGCCTCTTGACTGCAGTTGGTGAGAACTGGGAACATCGCTCAACCTCAGATGGGCTCCAGTGGTGATTGAGCTTATAGCAGCTCTCTGGGTGTTGTTTTTTGCTGGCCTCATGGGTCCTGCCCCCTGACTTGCATGGCTTGGTATTCAGCCAGAGATGAGGGGACCTGTGTGCAGATTTCTGGAGCTCTTTCTCTGGTAGCTCCTGCCTCTAGAGATTTCCACCCCACAAATCCTGGCTGTCTGTGCCTCCTCAGTCTCTCCTCAGTCTGTTCAGGTCCCTGAGATTGTCTGTATTCTCCATGGGCCCCTCATTGGGCACTAGGGCTGATAGGTGCCTCTAGGCAGAAAGCCAGGCCTGTTGGAAGGTCACCTTGTTTGTTGCTCCTCTTGTGGGAACCACAGTCTGCTGCCTGTTTTCTCATGTCAAAAACAGATGCTTCATATATTTTGTCCAATTTTCTAGTTAAGAGAAGAGAGCTGGTTTGTTACCATTTACTCCATTAGGCCAGGAGTGAAAATCTAAGTGTAGAAGTACTATGTTTTTTAAAATGTTGACTGTAGGTTTCCTATTGGGCAAAACTTCAAAGTGGGCACTGACAATTTGCCAGGAAGCCACAGTGCATCGCCTGCAGTGGTGTTCCACTAGAAATTCCAACACCTGCCCCACAGACAACCTGCATGAGAGTGGATCACTTGGGACTCATGAGATTCCTGGGCCTTACTCTAGATCTGCCAAATTAAAAATCAGCAAATTTGTGAGTTTTAATCAGCGTGAGCATGCTTTATTTGCTTAAGTTTGAGAACCACTGCTTTTATGTATCAGCTCTCTTGGGTGGTAGCAAGTAGAAGGTGTCACAAGATGTTAAGGCTCTAAGTCCACAGTCACCAAATGTTTGCAAGGATGTGAAACAGGAGAGGTTGGCAGAATGTGACTTGGTCAGGCACCCTGCAAATCCAGCAACTTGAAAGTACACCCTCCCTCCCATCTGGCAATTGTACCTCTAGCTTCGGTGCAGGGAGATAACTAGAACCTCACAGAGCATGTTCCAACAGAGTGTTGGCAACAGCTCGGATGGCCGGCAGAAGGAGCTGGGATGTGTAATATGTGATATAGTCACTATTTAAATAAGTGAATATGATAACACATGGAATATATAGTACACGAAATGAAAGAGTTAGAGCTCTTTGTGTCCATGTGGCTGATTACAGAAATACAGTGTTGAGCCAGGAAAGCAGGTAGCAGAAGAGTCACATACAGCATCTTGCCATTTACATGTGAAGTGTTTGAAAACGTACAAGGAAAATTAAGGGACAAGTGTGTGGGGCACAGTGAGCACTGAGCGGGGCAGGGCCGCTGCATGGTGGCCCTGACAGTGTTGATGAGTCCCTGAGCTGGGTGGGCGCGTGGGCCTTTGCCCTGTGCACTGTGTACCTTCCTAGCACTCATAGTCCATGGTACATTTCTTTTAGAGAATTGTCAAGCAACCAGGGTGGCTAATTTGTTTTCATCACCTTCCTGCTACAAAAAGTTCATTAGATATAACTTAATTTTTTTCTCTTTTTTACCTTAGTTGTAAAAGGCTTTTCCCCTTTTGTCCTCTGAAGAAATTGGGAATATCCTTTGTTTTACTACCTCTCTGTTTAACTCATTTTAAGTAGTCACCTGAGTCATGCTTGGTGTGCAGGGCATCACCTGAGTTCTCCTTGCTGACTCACTTGCTCGTGCTTTCTCTCCCCAAAGGTGTTCACAACTCTGTCGGTGACCAAGCGCTCCGGGGGAGACATCCTCCAGGCTGGCTGCTGAGGTTAAGCCCCAGTGTGGGTGCTGTTGCCCAAGACTCCAAACCACTGATGTTTCCTAGCCCAAATCCAAGGAGTTTTTAGGAAGGTTCTTGGGCCCTGGCACCTGTGTCCCAAGCCTGCACCACCCGAGGCACCCTCGGATCATGGGTAGGAGAAGGTGGTGAATGGAAGGCAGCAGTGACACACTGGGGTCACCGTGATGGACTCAGCTGACATTCGGCAGCGCATTGAGGGATGCGTCCATGAAGTCACTGGTCTCAAGCCACGTGGTGGGCAGTGACCGAACAGCTGTCGGAGCAGTTTTAGCATGGCCTTTTCTTTGTGGGTTTTCTTACTCTCATTGTCAAGCTTTCTAATGTTGCTTATTGTTTTCCTTGTGCAAGGAAGGCAGGCTCTGGCTCAGTTGGGGCTGCATAGGCTTGTCCTGTCAAATTGGGCTGTCCTAGGGCTCAGACATACTGTTGTATTTGACCAACGTGTTTAGCAGTGTCTCCCCCCAAATTTACCTGTCCCAAACTAGAAAATGTATGATTGACTCGGGTCAAATTTGTCTCCCTGTGCTGTATCACTGATCATTGTTTTTCTGTTTAAGAGAGGAAGTGGCTGCTTAGCCAGCCTCTTTGAAGTGATATCCCACTGCATGGAACTTGGTGTAGTATAATATGATTTCCACCATTACTCATCATGGAGGCAGAAGAACACCTTGAATGGGGAAAAGCAATAAATGTCTTCCTTTGTTTAGTTGACTGTTGGTCGAAGCGAGCTGAGACCTTTTGTAATGGAAAATACTTGCTTTAAACTTTTTTGGGGGGCAGCTTTAGCTTTAAGCTAAAAATACAAACTATCACAGCTTTAGTTTTTGTGTGTCATGTATCTGCCCTTTCCTAAGAACTGCATTTGTAGGAAGATAGGTCTTTGCACACTTACAACTTAACTCTTTCGTGGTAACTGCTTTTTTAAGGAAGCTTTTAATAAGTTATTTTTGAACACAGGTGGATGTGAAGGATTCTTGTTTCAAAACCAAATGGTTTTGACTTTTGTTGAAGGACTGTTTCTGGTGGGGTTTGGCAGACATGCTCATGCTCTCCCAGCATCCCACATGTATCATACACGTGGCAGTTGGACTGCTGCGCAGTGGGACTGACCGGATTCTATCTCGGCCGTCCCCTCACCGCAGATGTTAGGCTTTACTCACGCTGTGGACATCGGGCCTCCCCCCAGCAGTTCTTAGAGCTGTATCTCTCCCCCTGCATGTATTGCTTATCTGCAACTCCGAGTGGTCGATTAAAAGTACATTTCTTGGTCACCTCAGGGACGTTTACGTGTCTGCCTGGCATTTAGTCAGCAGACTGCCTAACCCTGCCCCACAGGCTCTGCCTCACACCCTCCTCCCGTCTGGTTATATGAAGCAGAGGGGGGAAGAGGGGAGGAGAGGGGGAATTGAGGCAGTTCACTGTGTCCACTTCTATTTATTTTTTCATTTGTTCTTTCTCCAAGTCTGCCAGTCTGTGAAATTAGGACAGTAGGCAATAGAGATGATCGTGCCTAATCATGTTGTGATTCTCTCCCAAGTGGAATGGAATGCTCTGCCCCCACAAGGATTATACTTTGTAGACTTGTCTTGTTTAGTCTGTAATTGCCCAGTGTATTAAAACTCATTAAATTCCATGATTTTTTGTTATAAATCTTCTGAAAAAAAAATAACAATGTGAAACATTAAAAGTTATCAATAACCATTTTGTGTGCCGTCTTTATTAAGTGTTTGTTGGTCTTGGGATTCTTTGCTAGGAGTGCTGGACAGACTTCAGGTTTCCTGTCGGCAATTATGAGAACTACCTGCTAAGTACAAGCTTCAGTGGTGCTGTGCTCTAGGCCTGCTCGGTATCTGCTGGGGTTTATGTTTTAGTGTTGTTGGCTTTTCAAATGCCATTTTTCAGCCTGTTCTGATTTGACCTGCCAATCAAATGCAATACGCATGTTTTTCTTTGCTCCTAAAAATTCTGCACGCAGTGCATGGGCAGAATGAAAAGCAAGTGCCTGAGGAACAGGGGAATAGGCAAAGCAGCGGGAGTCAGGACCCAAAAACTCTGTATCTTTCTTGATGCAACTGCCACTGCTCAGATGTGTGAGGTCAGATGTGTGAACCCAGGACTGTCAGCCAGAGTTCTTCATGGCCTCCTGTGTATGCTCAGGTAAGAATCCTTCACCAGGAGAAAATTATCTCAGAGAAGGGAAGGGGATGACATAACACAGACACCACTCAGAGCTTTAAATAAGTACTAGCTCACCAGTACCCAGGTCGTGGTTCTGGAGGCCCATCCCTCCCAGGACATAGCAAGCAAAAGTCCTGCACACTCATGGCAACTTAGTATCAACATGGAGTCATCTTAAGGTCTCATTCCTCAGGAGCATATCCATTCATCCATCCATCCACTCACTGGTTATTGAGTGCGCAGGACCCATCAGGTCCTCTGTTGGACATGGAACATGACCAATCACCTTCGTTCAGGACTCTCACATCCTAGCGGGAGAACACAGACAAGCCAACAGCCTCAAGAAGGACAGGTCAGTGGACGTGGACGTGCTGGGTGGTGGTCAGAGTTGTGAAGTGGATAAAGTAAGGAGAAGAGTTTGATCATTTCCAATTCATTTGTATCAGATGCTTAGAACCCTAATATATGAGTCTCATTTTTACAATGTCATTTCACGAAGGAGGAGCTAAACGTCTAGAAAAAGGAGTCATGGTCCCCAAAGGCCCCACTTACTCCGACTGAGCTGACATTAGAGCCTGAGACGCTGACCCCCGTCTGGCGCTCTCAGTACATCATGCTGCTGTGTATAATGTAACTCCAGAACCTATGCTAAGAGCATCTGCCTCTCAGGCAGAGTTCTATGGTTCTGCTCCCAGAAATTAGGGTTGAAAAAGGATATCAAGGTCAAAGTTGAGCAGCTAAACCCAGAGCTGGGACTTGACGCCATTCTGGCTTCCCACTATGTGGGTTTCTACAACACGGTACTGCACTGTTCCTGCCACCATCTCCTCTAGATTCTCCCCTGTCCGTGCTCAAGGACAGCCAGCCAGGTAAGCACACTCTTGGGTGTGGTGAAATTGACACACACGAAAAAACAGTCCTTGGCCTGTCGTCAGCATAGGAAGGCAGGAAATGCCAGCAGACCTGAAGTGAGGCATCAGGGGCCCTTCGTGTTGGCTTCCCTGTGTGGATGATGGGGGCCACTTCTTGTATGTCAGGAAAATGAGGTAGAGCCTACCTAATAATAATGCAAACTGCCCCCCAAACCCATTAAGTGTTTGCTAAATGAGTGAAAAAATTTACCCATGGCACAGTGGATACAAAGTGAATAAACACTCATGGTTAGCCTATATGTTGGTTTGACTGGGTCCTGGGATGCCCAGATATTTGACTAGACATGTTCTCTGGGTGTGTCTGTGAGGGTGTTTCTGGGAGAAATTAGCATTTGAATGAGTGGGCTCAGTAAAGCAGATGGCCCTCCCCAGTGTGGGTGGGCATCCTCTGATCCCTTGAGGGCCTGAATAGAAGGCAGAATTCTGCACTGCCTGCCTGATTGCTAGGACTGGGACAGCCATCTTCTGCCCTTGGCACTCCTGGTTGTTGGGCCTTTGGACTCAGACTGAACTACACCACCGGCACTCCTGGGCCTCCAGCTTGCAGACGGCAGATCGTGGGACTTGTCAGCCTCCATGATTGCATGAGCCAATTCCTTATAATAAATCCTTCCCTATATATATGTCCTAAATTTCCTACATGTATCTCCTGTTGGTCCAGTTTCTCTAGAGAACACTGACTAGATAAACAGACCTCACTCTGAAGGTGCATGTGGTCAGGTATTGTGGATGAATATGCAGTTATTCACGCCTTCATTTCTTCCAACAAATACTATGTACCACTTCCTGTTGTAGGCAGGAGAGCTCAACAATGAACAAAACATCAGTAATCCTTGTCCTCTGCAAGTTTACCTTACAGTTGCGGGAAACAGGCAAAACTAACAAACACGTTAATTATGTAGGATGTTCCCTGATGAGAAGTGCTGCCAGGAGAAAAATCTAAGCAGGGATGGGGATAGGGGCAAACAAGATGTGCAAACAGAAAGAGACGGAGATGAACAGGTGGAGAGGTGAGTTGTAAGCAGCCTGTGGAAGGCCCTGAACAGCTGGTCAATGCCCTGGACGTCATTCTGGGGCTGTGGGAGCAGGGAAGGTACACAGTGGAGGGCCAGGACGGGGGCGAGGAGAGGGAAGCGTGCACGCGCAGGGGTCTCTCAAGCACAGGACCAGCCTTTGCGCCGCCCCCTGGCTCCTCGCTCTCCTCGCCCTGCTGTGACCCTGCGCACCTGATGGGCAACGGTCCTGAACAGATTACCGTCCTTCCCCACTCCAGACCCAGGCAGCACTGCTTCACAGCTCTGCCACCTGTGGGCCAGCGTACCTGTGCTGGACTTCAGACAGACTGTTCCTTCATCTGCAAACAGTTGTGTTAACTGTACTTCCCTAGGGTGGCTGTGAGCATTACGTGAGCTGATACATGTAAAATTAAAACTATAATAATGGAAAACAATGAAAGAATTCCTGTGGGAGCTAAAGTCATACTCAAAAGAAAATACAGAGTTTTTTATTTAAAAAATGATAATTTTCAAAAAAATGAAAGAAATATTTGGTTCAAAAAAATACTGTTTTTATGCCAGAGTCACTCAAATGAGAGAGAAGAAAAGGAAGCTATGTCCCAGGCATTGTTCAGGGTGGCACAGCACTGCCCTTTTAATTCTCACAGCAACCTAGGTTCGTGTTATCCCCATTTTACATAAAAGGAAACTTGAGGCATGGAGGTTCCTAATTTGCTAACACCAGATTACAGAATTGAGATTGAATACAGATCCAGGGCCCCACCGCAGAGCAAGTGTCAGTCCTCAAGGGATCAACCTGGAAATCTGTATTTTTATTCAGCACTGATTTTTATGGGCAAGCCAATTTTGGAAATGAATATATCCTGTGGAGAAGACCACTTCTCTGAACAGAAGTATGGTAACCAAACAGCAAATGGGAATTTAGTACTTACTTGGCCAGGTACTTTGCACATATGACCCCTATTCTGCAGTCCTCACGCCAACCCTTCTGAGGGCGGTATCATTCATGTCCTATTTTACAGTTTAGGAAGTGGGCAGAGAGAGGTTAACAAACTTGCCCAAGGTTACAGATAGCAAATGGCAGAATGAGAATTTGAATCCAGCTGTCCTGGTCCAGGGTCTGCGCTCCTGGCGACTACACTAGAAAAGAGTACCACACGTGTTCAGGTGGAGTCCCAGTCTGGGTACTCAGTGGGGTCCGTCAGGTAGATGGGAAGGGTGTGTCCCAGGCTGGGTTAGGGGGGTCCTGGGTCTGAGTCATCTACACCAAAAGGCTAATGGTAGCCACAGGATTGGTGTTGCTGAGATAGGGAACACTGGGCTGCTTTATCCACTAAGTGCCATGAGCAAAGGACCTAGTATTTATGAAAACATTACAGACCTTTAGAAAATGTTTCACAATATGAAGGGGAAAAGCCAACAGACAAATTGCAATGGACATATTTAAATGCCTACATAGTATTTTCTCAACCAGTCAAATGCAATTGGATCCGATTCCCATATATTTCTGAACATGGTATTTAACATAGAAAGGGGATGCATTTTATTTTGTCTGGAATGATGTGGGAACAATTCTGCAAACACAAGTGCACAGGGAATGAAGACCAAACGGCCCTGAGAGGAAATGTCAAGAGGCTTTATTGATGGGAGCTTCAGGCACGAAGAAGGAAAGACCCCACATTTGCAGCACTTTACATGCAGTGATTCATTGATCTTTGTAAGAACCCTCAGAGCTGCTGTACCCATTTTTCAGGTGCACTTTGCCGTCCGGCTAGAATGGGATGCGGTTATTGGGACACAAACTTGCTTGACTCTACTGTCAGCATATGAGGTCCCAAAAAGTCAAAGGGCAGCCTTGGGATTCAAGCCCAGGACCAGATTCTGTCCCTTTCTATTCCAGCCCCACCCCCTGGCCCCAAGCCAGGGCAGTCTGTTGGTCTGGGAAGGAGGAAGGGGGCTCTGCATTCTTAGACACCTCCTGTCGGACTCTGAGCCCCAGCTGATGCTCAAGGATGTGCTTGGCTGGAGGAAAGGCCTGACTCTGCCAAGGGCACAGCACTGACGCAGGGAAGAAAAGCTCCTCCATGCTCCGGCTCCTGTCAGCCCACCCAGAACCTGCTGAGGCCTCATCTAAGAAAGCAATTAGCAATTTAAAAACCAGCCTTATGTGACATGGTGGATTTTATCAGGAGCTAATACCCTCCCCCATTTCTCCCACCCCCACCCCCCAGCCCTAGTGTGGAAGCAATCAATGGGAAGGGGGTTTTATGGAATGAGTCCCTCCCTTCCAGGGGGAATGGTGATGGGCATCTCCCTTCTTTGGCTTCCTTCCTGCTGCAGTGAATTTGAGTCTAATACTAGTTGGTGAAGTGAATTTCTCATGGTTAAGAAAAGATACAGGAAAATTACCTGGAATACAGTTGCTTCCTTTGTAGTTCATGCAATTTAATGACAGCCTTGTTATAAATTTCTTGATTCTAGTGGCACTCTGCTGGGGTCCATATTCGCCATTAAGTAGAGGAAGAGAAGGAAAGGCCACCAGCAGCTGATCAAGGCTGGGTCTGCTAGGACTTGC